AGGACAACCAATAGCGATTTTCCTTACTGAGGAGTTGGCAACACTGGTCAATGGTATCTACCGAGACACAAAACTTGAAAATATCTAGAAAACTGTGAATGCTAACAGACAGACAGAACCGACTGCAGTGAGTGAATTGTATGGATCAGATGCTATCATTTACAATGGATTACATTGGATTAATTTTTTATTTTTTGGAGTTTCAGGATCTAAGTCTCTGTTCCCAGGTGTCATAATGTTTTTGAACATGTAATGTGAATGGCTCTGGTGCTTTTCAGGCATCTAGGAGATACTTTGCCATCACCTTCATAGGCTCCATCATCTGGATTGGTGCTTTCTCCTACCTGATGGTGTGGTGGGCTCATCAGGTTGGTGGAGTCTTAACACATGTTATGTTGGTCTATTATTCACACTGATAAGGACCCTGGCAGATTACTTTCCTACATGTCTCAGAGTAGTCGGCCCTGAGTGATGTCAATGATACTTTCAGGTGATGCTTCTGCAGTTAGTCCGGTTAGTTTAACATAAAGATAGTGAGAGCATAACATAGAGACAGTGAGACTGTCCTAGTTTTATAGAAAGTTTTGTCTTTTATTTGTCTCGTTTTACCTTGTGCAAGAAAAAAAACTTAATTTTGCCCAATTTCTCCTTAAAGGTCATCTCATTGTGCTTGCACCACAGTTGAGGTCTGTGCTATGAAAGTTCTTGCTCTTCTGGACGTTATAGTGGAATTTACAGCCTGATCCTCAGGCATGAATGCACAGTGTACAACCCCATGATTTTTAAAAATTGGTTTCAATTGGGAGATTATGGGCTCTTCCATAATGCTGTTTGCCTCTTGAAATGGCAGCCTCAGAATAAAATTGGACAAAATGAGACTTCCAATGAGTGTTTTTGTTTTTGTTTTTTTAAAGCAGCATTACTACAAGAGGTCCAGAGGTGCACAGAAAGACAACCTTGGAGAGAGACTCCTCTCCCAGTGTACTTCAGACCCAGCCACACACTGAGACAAAAACTGGTTCATCCCAAAGACAAACTCCCAAACACAAACTTAACAACGTAGTGTATGCTGTACAGTATAGCGAGGAATGCTCAGACCTCTACATTGGAGAGACCAAACAATCACTTCCTACACGCATGGCACAACATAGAAGAGCCACCTCCACGGGACAAGACTCAGCGGTTCATCTCCATCTAAATGGCAAAGGTCACTCTTTCGTGGATCCCAATGTTCACATTTTGGACAGAGAGGACAGATGGTTTGAAAGAGGAGGGAAAGAAGCCATTTATGTCCACTGTGAACGACTATCTTTGAACAGAGGTGGTGGCTTACGGCAACAACTGTCTGCCATCAATAAGATCCCTTCCCAGACGCCCTAACGCCCACTCACATCCTGGGTCATTTGACCTCAGGAAATCACATGATGGGGTGGGGCTAGGTTTCACAATGGATTCACCTGAAACCTTGGCTGATTGGGACCTACACTCGTTTTTTTACACCTTGGCTCATGTAATTAGGTAGAGAATTAATAGGGGGTCCCTGACCCTCTTGGGGACACTCCCGTAGGGCTTAAAATCTGGGACTCTCCACCAATTCCTCTTAGCTGAAGAGCTGAAGAACTGAACTGAAGAAGCTTCTCAGATGAGAGGAGAAACGTCTTTAAGGAAACTTAAAGAAGTCCAGATGCTTTTCTTTCCAAGCTCCTTAGACTATGATGACCCGGATGACTGAGAACCTTCACAGACATACTTGGAGAGAGACTATTTAGGTTTTTCTGTAATTTGAGTTTTATTTAGGCTTTGTTGGGGGAAAAATGAAGAAAAAAAAAGAATAATGTAGAGTAATGTTAACTAGTTAATTAGGCACCGATTTGGGAAGACGGTTTAAAATTTTGGTCTCACTTTGTGGCACTTGGGCAGTTTTACCAACCAACTACAGCCAGGTTGAGGATACTCGTTCTGACACTTGTTTTTTTTTTTTACTGTTTGCAGGTGGGTGAAACTGTGGGCATCTCAGAGGAGATCATGGGACTGACCATCTTAGCAGCTGGGACATCTATCCCTGACCTGATCACCAGTGTGATTGTGGCCCGGAAGGGTTTGGGTGACATGGCAGTGTCCAGCTCAGTGGGCAGTAACATCTTTGACATCACTGTAGGGTGAGTCACTCTTAATTCCATTCAGTTTTATTTACATAGCGACAAACCACAACAATCGCCTAAGGCGCTTTATATTGTAAGGTATTGACCCTACAATAATATGGAGAAAGCCCCCAGAATCCATTGTGTCTAGAATAAAGCATTAATTTATCCACTATTGTACCTGTACTTCAGTCAACAATTGCATCATTGTTGTAAACAAATAAGCCAATATTGTAATCACTATCAAAAAGTTACAAGAGGCTATGCTAAAATAGGCCAAAATATATTTTCTTACAAAAACAAAAAAGGAAGATCAAAAAGTATAGGACCCTAAATAGATCCCTAAGGAACACCTGAGGTAACTGTAGCAGACGGGGTACGAAGGTGTGATGGTAAATAGCTTGATTTCTGCTTCTGTTCTGTTTGGTTTTAGTCTGCCGATCCCTTGGTTGATGTACACCCTGCTCCACAACGGTGAGCCAGTTATGGTCAGCTCCAATGGCCTGTTCTGCGCCATTGTGCTGCTCTTCCTGATGCTCCTCTTTGTCATTATCTCCATCGCCGCCTGTCGGTGGAAGATGAGCCGAAAGTTGGGCCTCACCATGTTCGTACTGTACTTTGTGTTCCTCGTCCTGAGTGTTCTGCTGGAGGATCGTGTCCTCATCTGCCCTGTTTCCATCTGAGGGAAACAGCACCGTCACACAAGACTTGGTACATCCACACACAAATGATACTGTAATATAGGATCTGTTAGAGAAAAGAACTGAGCCTAATGTTAAAAGGCTGATCAGGCACACACTAGATGCTAAATTAAAGGAAAATTCTACGCTTAACGTGGTTTTACATATTTAATCTGACATTTAATGACATTTAATCAACATTTTCCAGCAGCTCCAGTCTCATAGTCAAGTCTTACCCTCCACCTTTTTAACTGAGTGTCTGAGCTCTGTGAAATATATGAACCTCTTTCACAGTGGGCTATAGAATCATCAGTTTGGAGCCATTAACCAAATTAAGAATAGTTTTACCCCAAGAATCCTCTTCAAATGCAAAAAGTGCAACAGTTTTGTATAGTAGTGAAACACATTTACCTAACACATGAAAGATCCCAGGTCAAGACCAGGAGAAGACACAAATCCTGAAGTCCAACATACAGATCCATCTGCTGTAGCGACCTGCTGTGAATGAGGGAGTAGCTGGAAGAAGCATAATTAAAAACTTCTTATCGTGGGACCAATGACTGTGAAATATCAATACAGTAATGCACACAAGACGAGAGATGTCAGAATAAATCAGGAAATAACTAACGCTAAGACCAGGACTAAGATATATAAACTTGACAGAACACGACGGGGATGACAGAAAGAGGTAAACTAGAATACAAGCAGACTGCAATCAGGATATAATACATGACGAATGAAAATAAGATCCTAAAGTTGTGTGATTTGGCGCTATATAAATAAAATTGAATTGAATTGAATTGAATTAAAGAGCCAAACATAAACACAAGAGGCCCTCAAAAGACACAAGGAACAAAATTCGAAACTGTAGGTTCACGATACTCCCCCAGCTCTCTCCCAGTCTAGAACTAGAACTAGAACTAGATAGATAGATAGATAGATAAATAGATATTTAGATAGATCGATCGATCGATCTGCCAGTACATATATACTGGCAGAGGCCAGGAAACAGTAATTTCTTTACTGTGGCAACAACACTTACAAAATATACAGACTGTGTCTATATTTGTCCAACACAGCAAGTATAAAACTTAGCTGTAGCTGCTGGAAGTATCTGAAAATGACACCACGCTGCTTAATTATTGTCAACAAACATGAAGCAATCATAATACATCCCCATTCTGTTAACAGATTTTCTTTAGTTAGTTTTTTTTTTTTTGGTGTTGATGGAATTTTCCTTTAATAAGCAAATGCTTATGGGTAGTCTCTGAGCTGACAGCATTAGGTCATTTAAAAACATTACACCCACTCCAGTAGCAATGGTATGGACTGACCTTGCAGGAAATCAGAGTCACTGGATGCAACTTCAGTTTTGTATGTTTAGTATTTCTGGAACTATCATCCCTAACACCCTGTTCTGTATTTAACTTGACAAGTATTTGTTCATGTTTAGTGTTAAAAAGAGTTTTTGTGTCACTTAACTGTGGTGGAGAGAGTCAGTTGTGTGTGTGTGTGTGTGTGTGTGTGTGTGTGTGTGTGTGTGTGTGTATCAGGAAGACACGCATCAGACTGTCTTAGCTGTGAGAAAACCTGACCTGTGTGATGTTTTCAGATGTTCCTGTTGTGCTCTTGTTGGATTGAAGTGGATGCAAACATGGATTATTGATAATGAAAACTATCAATATTTCAAATTAAAATTCCATGCTGCAATAAATTATTTTTTTAACAGTGAACTGGAACAGTCTGCGGTGTTTTGGGGAACTGGAAAAGAATATGCTGTTCTTTTAATCTAAAACGATATATATGGTTACACTGGTTCTACCAGAAAGTATTTCCTCTTCCTTTGTCTTCTTTAATAAAAAGTATTTAATTAAATGTACATTATACTGGCTAAGTATAAAAATTGATGGTATGTCTGTTTCCCAGAAGTGATGCTGGAATTTCCACTTGTAAGTGGTTGCATAGTAGATTATAATGCCCACTCCAAACACAAATATGCAGATTAAACTACAATTAAACTGTGTGATGTTTATGCTAATAGCAAGCTAAGAGTGCAACAAATCTATGTCACGTTGTTTGCAGGTATGTGTGCGCAAAACCTCCAGTATAAGGGAAAGATCTTGCTGATGGATTTATGGGTTCACTGCAGTTTTGATTCATACTGAATAAAACCTCTTCAACTAATAAAGATGGCGTCTGTTAAGACTGCAGACAGGAGGAAAAACCAGGCTAACAGTTTAACAATGACAAGTCATTAGTCGGTTTGTTAGCCAAATGTTAGCTTTTCCTGAAACAAAATGACATTTCCGTTAACTTTTCTTACAGGCAACACAATTTGGCCATTTAAAGCTAGCATTCTGCTAGTGCATGCTGATGGCTGATTGACTTAAAAATATGATGTAGCACTCATTTCAACACGATAATTCAATGTATTCTTTTTTGTCCAGTCTTAGGCTTCAGCAGCCCCATTCATTATGGGTTGTCTTGCAGGCCCCTCCTGAAAGCTGATGTCTAAAGTGTGACAGTTCTTAAGCATTTAGAAGTTCTTTGACTCTACAGTCACATAAGGGGAAACTGGTTAGAGACCACAGCACAACCAGATTTTTTTTTAGCAAACATGTGCAATGGGCGATGAACTACACAGACTGACTCAGACTCAGCGTGAGACCATGACTGTTTGCAGACAGGTTGCCTCTCGCCAGCGACCCGTGCAGTCGTCTTGTGATTGCGTTGAGAATTCAATCCAGTCATTGGGAATCTTCCTCCTACTGACAATTGACTGATTTAAACATTAAATACATTTAAACTCTAAATATTTTAAGAAGAAGACGCTACAGACAGCAACACTGAGGGTTTACATGATTTTATTTACACTTAAACAGTCCTGTAGATCTGGTCGCTGTACAGAACGTCAGAACTTCACCACTTCTAAAAGGACCTTTGCACATGTGTGAATACACTGTTATAAAATGTGATTTATACAAAGGGCAATTCAAATGTACATGGCCCAGAATCTGCAAAATCATTTATTTTTACAGTACTATTGTTTTTTAAACACAACAGAAATCCACAAATGAATCACAGCTTTTCTAAGCTGATGTGTCATCTCCCAAATCAAAATTCGCCAGTTAAAGAGATTTCCACACCTAAAGGTTTTTTTTTTTTTTTTTCAGGGACAAAGACGTGCAACTTGTTAAACTTTTCCAGTTTTGCTTAGCCATGCCACAAATCAAAGACTTGGCTGATATTCATAGGACCTTGGTGATTTCAGAGTCAGGGGTCCTCCTTCAACCACTCTGCCTTTCAAAGCTGGATTAATATCCTCACTAAGGCAGTAACAAATATAAGCGACAGAGGCAATGCACTCCAGGGTCCATTTGATTTTCTCCAACATAACATCATACGGTCTCTAGAACTTAAATAACCCCATAAGGGTTTTAAAAAATTAAAATATGAACTTTATATTCAAATTAAAAGTGAAGTAGGCTCTTTGCAAAGTTGAACTCTGTTATCCTTACTCCTGTCCAAAAGTTAAATCTTTAGTAAATTCAATGGTGGATACAGACCTCAGGGTGTAAACATCTCCAGGTATCAACCTTTTCATAAATCCCACTTTTTATAATAAAGTCCTCTTTTACTGTTTGTTTATGCTAGCTGAAATAAGAATTCTTAATTTAGCTTTAGTCTGATTCAACACTAATAAAACTGGCTGGATGTTGCCAGAATGAAAAATTTAAACCTTTTCTCCACATATGTTCCCAAAAGATTCTGGCATCCTGGCTGCTCGGTGGCAGGTGACAACCTGCATCCATAGACAAGCAAAGAAGAGACAACACAAAACACAGGAGCCACCTTGAGGTCCAAGACATTAAAATGATTTGGATTATTGTATTAAACCGACATGGAAGCGGAAGGCAATGAGATTAAAGTCATTTGATTCAGCCACAGGCCTAACTGGCTGCATGTGCAATACACACTCAGATATGCTGTTATTAAATGAGGCGGGGCTTTACAACACAAAGCTCTTTTGTTAACCTCCGCTAAGACTCATTGATATCTTTATAGTTGGATAATTGTTACCAACAAATCAAAACTTCACTTTGGTTTTCCCTCCAGATAAAGTGATTTAGGTCACATAGATCAATTGATATTGTATGTTGTAAGGGTGATTGTTCACGCTATTTATCCCACACTCCAACCACAATCCTTGACAGTACCGCACTGCTAGTTAACAGCACCGGGTTCCTGGGCTTACAGATACCACCTTCCACCTTCTACCATCAAAAGGTAGAAAGCAGCGCTTGCGCTTCCTGAAGCGGTCAAGAAGAGCAATCAGACTCCCTTCTGCCCTCAACACTTCCCACAGAAGCACTACAGAGAGCAACGTCTCAGAGCAAACTTCAGAGAATGGTGAAGACACCAGGCCAGGTCTCCTCTCTCACCCCCACAGGACCACACACCAAATCCTGCCTGCACAGAGCTGCCGACACGCAAACCGTTTACCATCCTGCCCTCTAAAAAACGCTATTGCAGCATCAGAGTCCTGAACTCTCTTTAAATACACACTATCACACACTACAGACACACAATCCAAGAACTGTTGTATATGCAAACTCTCACACAAAATGTCTCTGTAACTGCTAATTTGTGCAATATTTTCAGTGTCTGCATAACATGAGCACCTATGTTTTTAATATTCATCAGTACAAAGATTCACATATAGTGCCTAGGTTTCTGCTGTGCAATATTTGTAGATTTTGATCTTAGCTGGGTATTCATGTATAATTACTATGACTATAGCGCACGGTGTTCTAGGAGAAACACAGTTTTGTCCCACTATGCAGTCCTTGTGTGGCCAGCATGACAAATAAAGTTTACTTTAACTTTCAAATTTCAGTCTGCTGTTATCATCACGAATTAAAGAAATAACCGTGAATAACAAAAAAACTGCAAAAAAGGTTCATTATTATTATTATTATTATTATTATTATTATTATTATTGCTATTATGGCTGACCATGTATATGTTTGCCATTTAAAATATTTAATTTGAACTAATTCATGCTATGAACTCTTACAACCCCAAATTCATCTCTCGATTCGGGTTAGACCACGAAAATGAATGTAAACAAATGCGACGCA